CCAAACTGAGTTTCGAAGCCCCCGATTATAATAGGAAACAAAATTGGATGGAAGACCGAGCTTGCACCACACAAAAATAAGCTGTACTATTACCATTTAAGTTGCAAGGTGAGCTTGGATACTGTCTGGGGAAGGATCCAGGTTGGTGTCTTCCCCGTGTGTGTCCCTTGGCGTATTCTTCATAGCACAGGCCAGCTCCCAGACTGGCAGCAGAGCTGTCCTTTGGGAGTGAATTTGCTCTAATGCCTTCTAAATTTGTGGTTAGAAATACAGTTAATTAAATGTACTCAATGCTTATCTTCTGTGATTGCTCTATCATCTCCTTGGGCGTCTGTTTACATATCTCAACATTCAAAGGTTGACTCAAAGTTCCATGGGTTAGTTGGATGATCTCTATAGCTGATGTCACCAAACTACAATGGTCTAATAGCTAAGTCTCTGCTTCAATTTATGGTGGAGGAAGATGGGTTTTTCATGTTCATGGACCTACTTACCCCAAGGAGGGTTAAAGGGAGATGGCTGTGTTTTTGCCCAGAATTCTTGGTTGTAATTGCCATGTGACTCATCCTCCCTCTGCTAGCCTCTTCCTTCAGCAAAAATGCACACTGACTCTAATGACCAAAATATTGGTTTTCTCCTGGAGTTATTTCCATATAACCTTGATTTGATTTTGACTGTCCTGAGGCAGGACCTCATGGTTGATCTTAAGCAAGTTACTTCACTTTACATTCTTCTCATTTTCTTTTCAAAGGGTAAGATTTAAAGCTCGCGATAGATTTTGACCCAAGTATCTATAGCTTAAGAAATGCTTTTGGGGTTGGGGATGTAGCTTAGTAGTAGAGGTGCTTGCCAAGTAGGGTGCTTGGTAGTAAAGTGCCTGACATCAATGAGGCCCTGGATTCAATCCCTAACACTGAGGAAAAAAGAAAAGAGAAAGGAAATGCTTTTCCCTCTCATAATCAAAGAGATGCTATAAGGATAGAAAAGCATGGGCTCTTGGGGCTGGGGATTTAGCTCAGCGGCACAGCGCCTGCCTGGCAAGCACAAGGTCATGAGTTTGATTCCCGGTACCAGAAAAAAACACAAAGAAAGCATGGGCTCTGGACCAAGCACAGAGCTCAGTGTTTTAATACCATTTCCCTTTTGTTATCCGTACATGGCATGTTCTTTACATAATCCCCACTAGCGGATGAAGAAGCTGAGGCACAGAGAAGTTGAGTAACTTTTTCCAGGTCCATAATGGGGAACTAGATTGTAATGCCATTAGTAATTCCAAAGTTGATACTTTTAACTCTTTATCTAATATTACTCCCTGGTAATACGACTCAGGATGAAGGAGGAGGACATTAATTCCAAGGGAAATAGACTATCACTAGTGATACTATTAATGAAGATGATAAATGTAGTGTCAACTCCTTTCTACAAGGTACTTTACATGAATTCTTATGAATCCTTATTGCATTCCTGTAATGGAAATAAAAATTTTAAAATTTTGTGTAGGAGATGAGTAAGGTCAGAGAATCAAATTAAGTTTTAGAACATCTGTTTCTCTAACTTCAAAACTAGATTTGAAGGCATTGATGGGTGAAAGTTTGTGGTATATCTGAAGAGAGGGATTTGCCTAGCATAGCTCAGGCCTAAAGTGAATGCCAAGGGAAGGATTAGGAGGGGCCAAGGAGATTTAGAGTGACAAAGGGAAACTGATTTTTTTTGAAGGATGAGTATGGGTAGGTGCTTAAAGATCAAATGGAAGTTGGAAATTTAATTGGTGGGGAAAAAAGACACTTGAACAAAGAGAGAACAAAAATTCTATTTTCTAGTAGACTGAGGTAGTGAAACAAAGAAAAAAGTATGTAGAGGCAGTGCTAGTTATATATGAGTCTTATGAATAGATGATTCATAGATTTTGCTTTGGAGACAGATGGGGCTTAGATGGAATAGATCTCAGATGTTACAGTACCTTATATATCTAAGGCAGCAAAACTCCAGCATGTGGTGGTTGTAAATTCAAAGCCTTAGAGAGGTTCTCTGATATATCCTCTGCAGCCCATTGATAAACATGATTGCCCTGCTGGAGACAGAATGGGTAGAATTTTGGTGGCCGGAGATTATGCTTGTCTTTTTAACTCTGCAGTGGGTGTGTGCTTGGCAATAACAAAGCCACAAGTAGTCTCTGTCCCTTTGGCTTTCATTCAGAAACTACTTTACATCACAATAAATCACTAGTCTTTTTAGCATCAAGTCTCTGGTGATCAAAGTATTCAATTACAGTGCCTGATACAATCACGAATATCCTGGTAGTTACTTTATGTACATCCTCTTCTCTACAACAGTGAGTCTTTATAAAAACTGAATTCACTGGGAGTCTTTATTCCTTAGTGTATGGATGGGTATGTTTGAACAATGGCAAAAAGCAATGAACTTGGGACCTAAAAGAAAAAGTATCATCTTCCCTTCCTTTCTATTCTTTTTGCCTAGTTCTAATGGGTTTCAAGTGTAATTGAATGTGTCTGTTGAGAGTGAAAGTTACATATGATTAGCTAATCACACCGGGGACAGCAGGTGCAGATTTTAGGGGTTCAGAAACACAGTGGTTTTGTTGCAGGTAAGCTTTTGCAAAGCAACTGCAGAGTCCAGTCTACAGAGTATAGACCTTAGACTTGGCAATGACTTAGAACTTTTGGACCAGTTTCTACACAGTGAAAGAATTTCTTCTTCATCTTTTCCTGACAATTCAATGTGAGATTTCCCCCGCCCCCGAGATCTCCCTCCAGGTTCAGGGGGCTGAACACTGAGAATGCTGCAGAGCGGGGACCGTGCCAGTTTTGGTTGCTACTCTGTACCAGTGTTCCTCGGCTGCCTCGCGCTGTTATACAGTAGTTTTAACTATGGAAGGTGCCACTTATGACCATTTCTTCAAGTTTTGGTCATGGAGGCTTGGATTAAAAAATTTCAAAATGAAACCTCATTTCTGCCACTTTGTGACTTTGGGCAACTTTCTATCACTCTAGTTTCCATTTTTGCTTGTGAAACAAGAAGACTAGGGAATTTGTGAGTGTAAAAGAGACCTACTTGTAGAGTTGTCTAACTATTAATTATAGTGTCTGTAAACAACCTGGCACATAGTAGGTGCTTAACATGACCTGTTTCTAGTGGACCAAACTCCAATATTTTTCTCAGCATGAGGCATTTGATTCTGAGTTCAGAATTCCAGTGGTGATCTGTGTAGTGAAGAGTGAAACAGAACTATTGCCTTACATGTACAGGACATTATAGAAGTTCTTTTTAGGTGATGTGTGATGTGGGACACTGGGTAGAAAACTTAAAAGCTGCTCTAATGTAAGGACAGTAGTTTTCAAAGAGCTATAGCAGTGCAATGGATATGAAGAGCAAAATCATTAGGTTACGTGGTGGCACACAGTAACAAGGGAAATACGGGCTTGTGTCAGAATTCATTAGCCTCAACTGAGACTTCTACCCCAAAACAACTGGCAGAAAAGTAAAAGCTTCAGTTACAACTTCAGTCTCGCTGTTGTGTGGTCTACACAAAAACAACACAGCAGAGTGATTTCCATTAGTCTCAATGATCATTTCCCCCAATGTGTTTAAAAACCATCTAAATAATTTTTTAAAGTGACTATCTGATACATCTATTTATGATGCTTATTTAAACAGTGCTCATTATGTATTGGTAAAATACTTGGAGTCCCAGGAGTTGCATGAATTTGTCCTCTGCCTGGTATTTCTAAGAGATCTGCCACATGGAGGGGAGAAGGAGCTGTATGTTTTCCATCATCTTCTTCCCTTTCAGAATGTGTTGACTTTGTGAGAGAAGCATCTCCAAATATCCTCTTGTTTAAGCATTCATTTCAAGAAACACATTACGGTTGTCTTAAAATATTATTGTACTCTTTCTGAAAATCTGTTAATAGGGAATGCATAGCTTCAACAAAATAGACTAGGCAGATTCCCATGATAGCACTTCACTAGTTTGTAGGGAAATAATAATAGTAGCTATTCATGTTTTTAAAAAAAAAAATCTAACACTAGGGACAAAATAGGCAGATGTTCTGAGATGGTCTGGCTCATCTTTGATGGGAGAATGGTAAGGAGTAGGTTGCTGGGGAGAGTCGAGGCCATAAATCAAAAAGCTGGGTGTTTTGTTTTGTTTTGTGTATTTTGGAGACAGCCTCTTGATATGTAGTCTTGGCTGACCTCCAACTCACTATGTAGCTCAGGCTGGTCATGACTCATCATCCTCTTACCTTAGCCCCTGAGTGCTGAGATTACAGGTGTCTACCACCACAGCCCAGCCAAAAAGTTAATTCTAAATCCAAAAGGACTTTATTAAAGATCATATATATTCCACAAGCTAGCATTAGTATTATTTTTAAGTGGACAACTGTTTCTACTTACTAATGTGTCTTTGGTACTAAATGTACATAAAATATTGATGAATTTGCAGTCATATATGCTTATTGATAATAATCTATTAAGTTGAAGACTGTCTGAGCCACACGGATGATGTGTGTGTGTATGTGTGTGGTGCATGGATTCACCTGCCCTTGAGCATTATGAAACCCTGTTGGTGTGAAGGACAGCCAATTTTTCTCCTTCTCCTCTATCCTTTTCACTGTTTGGCCAAAGAACAGATTTTTCCACAAATTTCAGGAAATGATTTCATGTCACCTTACATATATTTTTAGAGTTACAATTTATTAGTAAGCGATTCAGTAAATATATAATAATATAACAATTATTATACAATGGAAAACAATGTTTTCCATTGAAAGTATTGCTTTGTAGTTACAGCTAGCTCTCTTGGGGAGAAAAAACATGAGTGCTTTTCCAGAAAAGATTCTATTAAGAATAGTAATCTGATTTATGTTCAAGAGGGAAGATTGTTTTTTAACATTAATTTCTTGTCACTATTTTAATGCTGTATTTCTCTACCACGCCTTTACCAGTAACTATTAATATGATGCATGTTTATTTTATAGTTAAAACAGAGCCGATGAGCAGTAGTGAAATAGCTTCAACAACAGCGGACGGGTCTGTGGACAATTTCTCAGGTTCAGGTAAGGAAAAATAGCTTCTATTTTGACAATGATACTAAGTATTATCTTTCCTCATTTTTTAATATATGTATACATGTGTGTATATGTGTGTGTGTTGAGTGTATATATATTTATTTATGATATTGTTTTGCTCAGAATCACATCTGAACAATTCTGATATTTTTATTTAGTGTGATGAAATGTTTTCCAAAAATGTTGGTGATGAAAGGGCTTTTGTTCTCCTTTATTATATTATGTTTATTATTCTAATGATTCCTCACCTTTTTCTTTCATTTGTGTCATTGCTGCCAATCTTGTAAATGTGCGTAGGTAAAATTTAGTTTTAAAACTAAATTAAGGGGCTGGGGATTTAGCTCAGAGGCAAAGCGTCTGCCTGGCAAGCGCAAGGTCGTGAGTTCGGTTCCCGGTACCGGAGAAAAACCAAAAAAAAAAAAAAAAAAAAACTAAATTAAATAGTCCCTATGAGGCAGCGTTAAATTGTTAGTTTATCTTTTTGACATCCATAAAACCTGTCCCCAGCAAACAAAAGAGCCAAGTCTCACATCTGTCATAATGAAATTACTGATAAGAAAGTGAGGATGACGATGAAATAACTATGAGAACCTGATTACGTATTTTCCAAGTTACCCAGCTTGGACTGTTTCATTTAGAAATTATTGGTATCAGAGATAATTCTTTTCATGTTATCTGCACTATTTGTGAAAACCTCTCAAGCCAAAGTGCTATGCTTTCATGAATTAGGTCAATTTAATCTAGCTCTTAGGATCATTTTATTGTACAGCACAACTAAAAAGAATTATATATAGATATAAAATTAAATACAAATACATAACTTTGATATTAATGATACCAGGTGGACATAATACCAAAGTATATTATATCCATTTGCTCTCTTAGAAAGTGTTTACTAGAATTTGACTTCTTCCCTGCAGTATTATTGGTGCTGGTAGGGTCCTAGTCCAGGGCTTAACGGGGTAAACAACAACCAAAGCAGATGATTTGATAATGACAGAGGGACAGTTAGGGGACACAAGAACAGCAGGGGCCGGGTGGAGACCAGGCTAGTGTGGGTTAGTGAGGGAAGGAACCCTAAAGTACACGCGTGTGCTTGGCTTTAAAAAATGAGTGGGGAAAAACATGGGTGAAACTAGGGAGAGAAATGTTGGACCCTCCACAGGGAAGAACCACAGCCTAGAGGCACAGAGCCCAGGGAAACCGCCAACGGCTCAGCGGTCCTGGTGTGTGCCATGGGAGCAGCAAGGGTGAGCTGGGGGCGGGGCAGAGGCCTGTGTGTCTTTCTGGAAGTTCATTTTATCTACGTTTAATGGGATTTATCAGAAAAAGAGGTTGCGTGTTTAATCTAGAATCAGGACCACTGGAGCTGGATAGATTAGAAGCAAGTTGAGGTCAAGAGACCAGTTAGAGATTTTTTTTGTGTTAATTTGAGCAAGAAATATTGATGGCCTAGATAACACACTGGCAATGGGTGTGGGAAAGTGAGGTGTTCAGTGTCATTACAAAGAAAAATTTATAGTCATTAACAACCAATAGGATAGGGAGGTGAACAAGACAGAGAGAGAAGGCATGAGCTAAGGAAGGCAAGAGGACCGCAACTAGCAAAGATGTGACCTCAGCAGGACCATATGGGTGTGTTGAATGTGAGGTGTAATCCACCTGTAGATGGCAAGTATACTGAGCACTAGCACCCAGGAAAGATTGGGAATGGAAGTGCTGAAACTGTACAGTGGGGAGTTAGTCAACAGACTATGCCAAGGTTGAAGACAACCCAGGAAAAGCTTGGTGGATGGGGACACACACACACACACACACACACACACACACACACACACACGAGATGGGTGGAGGGGCATGTGAAAATGAGATAATTAATGAAGAAGGGTGACCACTGAACTGCAAGTAAAACCAAGAAGAATTTCAAGGAAGCTCTGCCCAGAGGACAGATTCATGCACAGCATTTACACAACTAAAAAAAACTTCATGACATGAGCTATAGTAAGTGAAAAATCAGATTTCCGAAGCACAGTATTTTTAGTATAATCAGTTTTTTTAAGGGAAGACACTGATATATATGCCCAGGTGCAGGTACTGATTACGTGCCCACGTGGAGGTACAAAAATGAATGGTGATTCTCAGGATGATGGAATAAAATGTGAATTTTATTCTTTTGGCTTTTGGCTTTTTTCCAACTTTTTAAAAAAACAATGCCTATGTAGAATATTTATATTTTTAAAAAGTATAATCTTAAAATACATGTTAAACTTTGTGAGCTACAAAGAGATAATTGAGTTTTGAAAGTGTATGTAGAAAACAGTATTGCATTCTTATCTTTCTTGATTTTGATAACTCTTCTGGAGTAATAAATTCTTTGTTTTTAAGAAATACACACTATGCTGTTTATGAGGAAAAGGACATCCCATTGGTGATGCCCCCAACATGTAAGATTGACATGTCTATAATCATACAACTACACGGAGGGCATCAAATACACAGCTAATGTAATAAAATGTTGAACGATCTGGATGAAGGATATCTGGGAAATTTTCATACTATTCTTGTAACTTTTCTACAAGCCTCAAATTACGCCAAAGTAAACAAAATAAAAACAGCTGAGAAGCTGAGACACATCAGTGTATGCAGCCTACAGGGCTCCCAGTAGAAAGGTGGCCTTTGCCTATCGTTTTCCCTACTGGATGGATGTTACACCTCTGTTTCTCTAACACGGTTCCTAGCATGGTGTGCGCTTATGAGGTTTATTGGATAGATGAGGGATTTAATGGAAAAGGTGAAGAAGTGCATCAGGAAAGAGAAAAAGGTCTTCTAAATACATAGTACGAAGGAGAAGGAAAGAGAAGATCCAGTAAAGAAAGGGCTGACATTGAGAAGGTGAGGGTAGCTTTGTCCTCCTGATACGAGCTTCATAGAGTAGAGTTTAAAGTATAGGCACAGTGGAGTAACTGCTGAAGGAAAGCCCCTGATGGAACAGTAATAACCTCAATCCAAAACGGAAGTGGTTCTGCCTAGAGAAGGACTAACTTCTACTGAAACATTGCAAAAGCTGCAATGGAAAGCAATGCAGCAGAGCTTAGAGTGGAGGAGGGGACAGTTTCTTATGGGAATTCCTATCTGACTCGTGTGGTAAGCCCCTCCAGCGACCTGCATTTGTCCCTGGTGACAGCTGAATTGTTACAAACACCTGCAAGTCCCATTGCAATTTGGTTGCAGTGACTCCATGTTACTGCCTGTCCCTCTCTCTTACCATGATTCCTCAAACTTCCGATGTGCCACAAGCATGTGCCTGTGTATGGTGGTCCCTTTGCCTGGGGGACTGCGCCTGCCTGCCTCCCTCAGGGCCTTCACATCCGAGCTCTGATCTCTCCTCATGGACGCATCTTAGCTGGATGAATTAGCAGATGAATAAATGAGCTTCTACTTTTGCCTCTGAAGTGGCACAAACTGAGAACAGTGATAGCCAGTGGGCCTGAAGAGATGGAGGAGATTAAAATAGATGCTGTGGGAAATAGGCAAACACAAGGCTGTTTAGAAATACAGAAGAGGATTGATTGTAGAGGTAACGGTCCAAGCAAGGCTCGGGCTACAAAACATGGAACCTCTATGGTAGAATGTTCTTTCCCTACAAGGGCTTAGGAGCCCAGGTAAAAAGATTTTGATTTGATTCAAGATTGAAGACTTGCCAGGTAGGATATGGGAGAAAGTGGAAGTAAGAGAATCGTTTGAAATAATTATTCATGCGTCTACTATCAGTGGAGAGGATGGGTTCATTAACTTGAGAAGAAATAACAATGTTAGGGACCCTGAATCCCTTGCTAAGGTTTCAAACATATACAATAAGAATAAAAGAATGAAAATTCTAGAAAGAGTGATGTTCCTTAACCTCAAGGCTCAGGGAGGCTACAACCACGTGTTTTTCCAGATCATTCTCTACACTTCCCTTCCTTAGCCTTCATCACTACTTTTTACTACTTTTAAAATTATTTTTCAGTGTATCTTTGTGCTAAGGTATAGCCTGTGAGAATGGACACTCTGTTTGCCTATCCACACTTAAAGTGCCCATGGCCATTGAGCACATAGATGCTGAGTAAAGGTTTGCCTAAGTGAATGAATTGGTCAATGTGCCTGTGGTTTGGGACCATGGAATGGGAAACAAAGGATCAGGGTATGGATTGAGCCCAGTGATCGAAGTAGGAGGCCAAGTCAAGACCTAGACAGAATAAGAAAATTGTAGGCTGTGTAGCACAGGATAATATTGGGACTTATCAGAAAACACAGCAAAGTACTAAGTTTTTGATAAATGTCCAAGTGGTGGGATCACCAATAGAAATGTTAAAGAGCTCTCATGAACTTCAAAGATGGAAAGATTTTATAGGAGAGCAGAAATCCATTGCTTTGAGGCAGCAGCAATAAAGGTATATTTTCTGGGATCTTTCTGATATCTGGAATCAGGCAAGGTATGCAGCTTCCACTTTAAAAAGGTGTGCAGGAGAAGAAATGGACTTGGAAAAGAGCTTTGACAAAGATGATGGGATTGTTTGTGAAGTGGCTGAAAGTAGAAAGGATCTTGTGTTCTACAGACTGATTGTCTGTGTTGGACACAGAGCGAATACTTGGGCAAACTGAGGAGTTGAGGAAAGATGTAGAAGCATAGGACACCATGGAAATCGATATATTTTTTACCGCCTTTTATATTTTCCTTCTTCTTTCCTTTTAATGAGTAAAGATACAAAAAAAAAATCAAGACATATTGGAGTGACTATGTCTTGCTTACTTTTCTCTCATTGCTGGGACAAAATACCTGATGCCCAAAATTAAGGAAGGAAAGGTTTATTTTGCTTACAGTTTGTGGAGGTTTCTGTCCATACTTGGCAGATTACAAGGCAGGCTGGCACATGGCAGAGAGCTACAGCTCATGGCAACAGAACACAGCAAAGCAACAAGCACACACAAGGGCGGAATGGGCTCAA